ACGAGCTCATCATCACCGACTGAGCCGGAGTCGTCTTCCTGACTGTGCCTCATCCTATTTTCTCATTCTTTCTACGTGTAAATAATAAACTGTTCAGCCTTTTAGCCCGCTCTGCCTCCAGCTCTCTGATGCCCACTTGGTCCTTCCCTGTTACTGCCCCGCTGCCTGGCGGGGACACCCATTCGTGTGGCCCCCTGACCGTCCGCACTGAGGAGCACCGGGGGCCTTACTCCTCGTGGATCCCCCGCGTCCCTCCCTCCATCTCCCCATTCCCTAGTGCAAAGGCTGCTGCGGGGAGACACCTCAGCTGCCTTCCCAGCAGACAGACGAGTCTTTGTGCCCAGGGAGCTGGTTGCCACGGAAACACCCAATTTCCTTTCCAGTGGGGACTGGCTGCAGGGGCTTCTCCCTTCTCAGGAGTATCACAGAGCAGGTCTCATCAAGCCACCCATTGTTTCCTGAGGACCTGCCTCGAGCCTCTTATCGTGGGCTCGGATCCCCTTTCAGGAGCTAGTGCCCCAGCAGGAAGCTTAGGGATGCAGTGATCTCCCGCCCTCCCCAGGCAGAGCCCTGCTGGGCAAGGCAGCAGCTGGAGCAGGGACCGAACACCTGTCCACCCCTGTCCCCACTCTGTCCCCACTCCTCAGGCCACTGTCCTCCATGGCCTTCTGGTCGGCCACACCCATCTCCTCTCCTTCCCCACCTCTGCAGGATGTCCCTTCCCTTCTGTGTAGGGCCCATCCTCCTGCGAGGCCTTGACTGGGATGACGGTGGGCATGGAAGCAGGGCTCCCGGGTTCCAGGTGTGACATGAAGTCGACACTGGCGCTTCCTCTGTCCTGAGTTCTGGGTCCTGCTCTCTTCATCCTGCTTTACCCAGCCTGCAGTAAGACCAATCTCACTGCTTCCTCCCTTCCTGGGGGGACAGGGAGAGGATATATATCGACACCCACAGAGAGGGAAAGTTGGTTCCCTGAATATTCCAGCCTTGACCTCCATTCTGCTGCCAGCTCCCCTTCCAGGAGGAAGAGTGGGCTTTCCCGACCTCTGCGAGAGGCAGAACCTTCGGGATGTGTGTGCCGTGGACAGAGTGGGAGTGACAAGTTTCCACAGGAGTGGGAGGGGTGTCTGCCTCTCCGGAGAAGGGTTAATCCAGGGAGCCCTGGACTCAGCACCCCCTTCCTCCCTCCTCCAAGCCTGTGGAGTCCTTTAATCAAGTAGGGTGCTGAAATTCCAGCTCTGAAATGCCGCCTTTGTGCTGGCGTCCAGGCGGCCGCCCCGGAGTGCGGGGTCACTTTCTCGGCCCCGATTCTCTAAATGGTTTCTTTGTTCCTGCTGGGCTGCTCAGTATCAGATGTGATTAAAGGGAGATGGGGTTTGGGCGGGGGAAGAGAGAAGGGGCTGAGAGAGGGAGTAGGGGGTTAACCCTTAGGGGATAGGGTGTAGGGGAGATGGAGGAAGGGGTGGCTTTCCTTCCATCTTGCCCTTCCCAACCTGCTCCTGTTTCATGGAGTCAGTCCCTTGCTGCTCAGCTGGCCAGGCCTGGGCATGGCTTCTTCAGTCCCTTCCAGAAACATCTGGCTCCATCTCTCCACACACGGAAGCCACTGCCCTACTGAGGCCCAAGCACATCCAGAACCTTAGGTCTAAGGGGGTGAGCACAAGCCAGGTCTTCCCGACTTCTCCAAGGTCATTTGTCCTCTCTGGGGCCATTTTTACCTCCTTTCATATCCCCAGTGACTTCCCAGTCCTTCTCCATCTCTTGAGAGGCAGGGTCCTGGAGGGGGTGGGTTCATCTCCATGGAGCCCCTCCCTTCTGCCCTACTGGCTCTGTCCACAGCTCTGCTGAGAGCAGGAGCAGTGAGCACCTGGAAATGGACTAACAACCTGCATGGCAACAGAGGGGAACGGCTGGGTCGTAAAACTTAGGAGTACCGAAGGTCAGTCCTCATCTGTCCCTGACAAAATTTGTAGAATAGGTTGTTGCCTATTTGAGAACACAGAGGTAAATAAAGAGGAGATCCCGGAGCTAGCAGAATTTCTAAGAATGTTGCCACATGAATCCAATTTCCATTTCTCAAAGGTTAGTAGTCTGGTTGTTCTGGTAGGTTGGAGGAATGCCACAGAGCGAATCTTGATTTCAGCAAGGCATCGGGCAGTCTTCCCGAATAGCTATGATGGAGAAGGTTGTACTCGTGGTGATACAGTCAGATTCAGAGTTGACTGGCCAGTCCTTCCCTCAGAGTGTTGATAATGGAACAGATGATGGAGAAGTATTTGGTGGTGGATATGGGCCTCTCTTCATGTCAACCTGTTTTATTTGTGACTTGAATAGGGACTTTCAAGTTTGCAGATACATAAAGCTCAGAAGGAGCACCAATAAATTGGATTCAGAATTCCAGGACTGAGTATAGGTGGGAAAACAGTCAAATCCAACAAGACGAGTTCTGTCAAAAGTCAGTATAAAATCCTGCCTTTCACAACAACACAACAAAAGAAAACACCAGAAAATAGCTTCTATACGGTTCGGGGTGATCTGACTTGGCATCCATTATGTCTGTAAGAGCAGGGCTTCCTAGTTACCGCTAAGCCTCATGGGAGCTGGTGGCTATGGCTGACGTTGCCAGAAGAACCCGCGTGACGCAGCTTCCAGGTGGGAGTGTGGCCAGCCTGGGGGACTGTGCTACTCGGTGCTCCCTGCCCCGCCCCAGGTCCTGATGAGGCGGTGAGGGGCTGGAGCCCGCAGGTGGAAGAAATGGAAAAGGGAGCTGGGGACGCTGGTCTAGAGCAGCGGGAGAAGCATCACTCCTGATGACAAGCAGAATTGGGGCCTGCAAGCCGTGGGCAGGGTCAACGTCTCATTAGCATCAACGTCTCAAAGTTTCAGCTGCCCATTTGGAAAATAGGGATAATGAGTGGACCCACTTGGTCCTAGGCCTGAATGACAAAGCACTCAGCAGAGCACTTGGTCAGGGAGCACTCAGAGCACGGGGGCTGTACTGTTGTTAGGAGCCGGGCCTAAGGAAGACCTCCAACTCCCAGAGCCATCCATCAGTGGAAGGTGGCAGGAAAGAGGTTTCCCTTGTCCCTGACAGGGAGTGGCTTCTGCCCCCAAGCACAGGTTGGAATTCCACCAAGGGAAGAGCTTTTAGGGAATGAGCACTGAAGGATGAGTTTGCGTGTCTGCCGTTCCGGGTTCACACACAGACCCATGCAGCTGCCATGAAGACTTGGCTAGATCGTGGAGCAGACCGAGGGTGTGTGTGTGTGCGCATGCACATACGCGCTAGGGGAGGGGAGGCACAAAGGGGTGCAGTGAGAGAAAGCCCGGCAACATATCCCAAAGGACAGGCCTGCTGGCCGTAGACGGCTGGACATCAGGCTTGACCCCCCCCTCTTTCAAATACCTGTCCCTTGAATGCTTCCAGGTCCCACCCCTCTGCTGGGCAAGTAAAAGGGGCTGCTCCTGCTGAGCTCCAGCTGGAAGCGCAGGTGGCCCCCCGACAGGATGAGCGCAGCAGGGCTGGGGGGGGGGGAGAGCTCCCAGCAGGGGGCCTCCAGCCTCGGCATCAACTGACCCCACCAGGATGCCAGTTGTCCCAACACACAGCACGGCCCCCACCGTCTCACAGGAGAGAGGAGACCTCTGCATTATCCGTCCTTTGCATTCTGCCCCTAGCTACTTCCAGAAAGCATCCGAGGAGGCACAGGTGCAGGGATAAGAGACCAAGAGACAGGCCAGGTCAGGCCCACCAAGCAGGTAACCGGAACCTTTAATTTTATTATGTGGAATGCTTAATGCAGAGTTAATAGGGGCTGGAATACCTAGGAGGAGGGGAGAGGGGAGAGGGGTCTACTGAGATAAATAAGAGGGGGGCAGTAATGAGTTACATGTGGACTGCGGGGGCTGCAGAACAGGAAGATAGGGGCAGACAGAGCTACATACTTTATTCAGATACCACTGGGAGGCAAAGGGCAAAAGGCCAGGGCAGAACGTACATGTCAGGAGTCTAGTGTCTTCAGCCTGCTGCCAGCAACCTGGGTCCCGGGCCCTGTCCTGTGTCTCCTTCTGGAGCTAAGGGCAGAGGTCTGAGCAGCTGTGACCCTCTGGGAAGCCCGAGGGGCTGGGGCTGATAGAGCAGGGACCGCAGAGCCTGGTGAGGGGAGAGGGAGTTGGCGGGGAGCCTGAGAGGAAGGCTCTGTGAATTGTCTCTGAATCCTTTCCTAGAGCCCCTGCCTCCTCACTCCTCATCTGGGAGGTGCCTCAAGGTCTGGGGGGCTGTCATGGAGTAGGACCAGGACGCCCTGTCTCCGCGAGACAAAGAATGAGGTGGCTGGCACGGAAATGGGTCCGGAGGCCTCTGTGCCAATTCCTCCCTGTGTTCAGAAGGGGAGGGGGCCCTGCGGGGATGAGGAGTCCTCCCTCTGAGCACCCCTGCCCCGCCCAGGCTGTTCAAAGCTGTCCTCAGCCCCCAAGGGGCAGACGTAGCCCACTGTAGGCACTGACGCAGGTCTCTGGCTGGCTTTGATCTTAGGCACATGGCCCAAGTGGCACGGGTTATGTCAGACCCCTCACCCTCCACAAGAAAGCCAACACGGGCACAGGCGTGGTAGGGCCTCCGATTCCCATCCGACCCTGGATGCCTCCCCGACTCCCAGAGGAGGGTGAATGGGTCTTTCTCAGGTCCTGGGATGAGGGTCATTCCTGGGGGGGAAGGTGCAGCCCCTCATCGTTCAGTCTAGGGGCGACAGTCACCTCCTTCTCCTCTGCCCAGCCTAGTAGCCCAGGGCTTTGCCTGGGCTGGTGCCGGGATAGGATGGGGTGGGGTCATCAAAGGCAGTGAGCCAGACAGAAAGCCTTCCCTCAGCTGTCAGCCTCTGCAGCCTCCTCTCCAGCCACCACCAGGCCTGAGATGGGTGAGGAACAGGGCACGAGGGCTGGGGAAAGGGGCATGCTACCCAGAGGGGCCGGGCAAGGTGGCGATGACAGGGCCCCCCACTTTAAGGCCGGGACAGCGTCGTATATACTGGCTGCTCCCAGTGTGTGGGGCTGTGGGACTGGGGCCCTGAGGGGCTGGGGTCAGAGATGGCCGTGTAGAGGGGCCGCTGCGAGGGCCCCATGTAGGAGAAGGCCGAATAGAGGCCAGAGGCCTGGCCTGAATGGCCATAATAGGGTCCTGAGGGCTGATGGTCAGAGTAGTCAAACTGGGGGCGGGAGATGGAGGGGAAGGCGGAGCCGTAGTGGGGCAGGCTGAGGGAGGTGTAGGCGATCTGCGAGGTGGACGGCTGGTCGGTGTAGTGCGGCGGGCCCTGGGGCCCTGCGGTCTCCGTCTTCACCTGGGCTTTGGCGTCCACGCTGGGTGGCGAGACTGTAGGCAGAGCCACGCCTGGTGGCTTGGAGATCCAGGCGGAGTGTCCACTGGCCACAGCCAGGGCGCTGCCCAGCCCGTAGCCGGCTGCTGAGTAGCTGCCCACGTGGCCCGGGTGCCCGTTGGGTGGCAGGTACTGGTCCAACTCAGCCACATCAAAGGTCTCCATGTTGGACATTACCTCGTGGCTGATCTCACCGATGTCCACGTTGCCGAAGTCGATGTGAGGCTTCCCGCCCTCCCCCATGGAGCGCCCATCCCGCTTGGGGTCTGCCTTGCCCGACTGCAGCTCTGTCTTTGGGGTGGTCGGAGGGGTGGGTGGGCCATGGCTCTGGCCTGGGTGGAAGGGAGACAGAAAGAAAGTGGGAAGTGAGTCAGAGGCTTCTGGATTCTGATGGTTCACTGTCAGAAAAGATGCCTCTGGGGGCTGAGGAAGGATCACAGCGTGACCCTGTATGCTTTAAGTGTTTGGGCAGCCCGGGCCGGTGCTTAATTCTCTAACAGTCTAGGGCTGGTCTCCGGCTGCTTCTGAAGTGCCCCATTTGGAGGGGTGCATCTGCCTCCCCCACCCACAGCAGGACTCTCCCTGTCACCCACCTCCTGGAGAGACTTGCTGCATCCCCTGTTGGGGAAGTTGTTCCTCATATGAGCTGAAGTCAGCTTCCTTCTCTGCCCCCACTGCCCCTTAGCTGTCCCCTCGATGGGCACTTAGCTGACTCGTTCCACCCCTGTTCCTTGGTTTTCTCATTCACACATTCATTCAGCAAATGCTTAGGGGGTGTGGTGCCAGGTGCAGGGCATACAAGCGGAAAGAAAAGGGATCCTATCTTTACAAGCTCCCAGTCTTAGGGGAGGATCCAGAGACTCACACAGAACTGGAGGGCAGCCTCAGAAGTGACAGGACGTGCAGAGGGCTCAGGAGACCAGAGGAAGAAGCCACCCACTCTGCCGTGGGGACTTGGGGAAGGTCTCTCTGGGGAAAGGAAGCTGAGCTGGGCCTTGAAGGCTGAGCAGAGGCCCAGGCCCACAGTTGTATTCCGAGGTGGCTGTTTGGTATGTGGTCTTCTGCTGTGTGTGTGTGTGTGTGTGTGTGTGTGTGTGTGTGTGTCCCTGAATATTTGAAGGTAAGGTATGTAAGTGTGTGGGAGAGACAGCTGGACTGGGGATCCCATTGGAGAGAGAACATGCCCATGGTCTATGAGACTGGGGCCTCCTTGGGGGCCGGCCCATGTCTCCCCCATCAGGCCAGAGGCAATGCCAGGTCTGGCACTGGCCAAGTGCTCTGGAGTTTGAGAGGCCCACCCGGGTTTGAATCCTGGCTCTATCACTTACTGTGTGATCCTGGAAAAATGCCCATCTTCTCTAACCTGCTCTCTTATCAGTAAAACAGAGATGATACTGGGGCGCCTGGGTGGCTCAGTGGGTTAAAACCTCTGCCTTCGGCTCAGGTCGTGGTCCCAGGGTCCTGGGATTGAGCCCCACATCGGGCTCTCTGCTCAGCAGGGAGCCTGCTTCCCTCTCTCTCTGCCTGCCTCTCTGCCTACTTGTGATCTCTGTCTGTCCAATAAATAAATTTTTAAAAAATCTTAAAAAAAAAAAACCAAAGATGATACTAAGCGGCTCAGACATGGCCTCCTTCTGGAAGGTGCAGGCTTCATGCACACTTGTTTTGGATTCGCTCATTTGTTTTCATCCCTGCTCCTCCCTCTACACTGTGGACCTCGTAGACCAGGGAGCTTCTTTTGTTGGTGCCTCTGGTGTCTGCTCCAGGGTCTGGCACAAAGGAGGACTCGGGCATGTCTCCTGAGGGCAGAGCTGTGCCGACAGAGACTTCCCATATGCCTGACCCCACGTACGGCCTTCTACACGTTGTACAAACAGAAGCAAGGCAGCACTAGTGTCCTCAGGGGCCCTGGAATCCAGTTGCCTGGGCTCAGACTCAACTGTGTCCACTTACTCATCTGTGACGTGGGTGTCATTTGCCACACAGCTGAAGTTGGAGCCCAGGCAGTGTGGCTGCCTCATCACAGCTCAGAGTAATTGAATGATAATACACATAAGGTAATTCGGGTGCCTGTACACAGTAGGTGCTCAATTAATGTTAGCTGGTATTTTCATTAATAAAAATGCAACGAGATGCTATGTCTGGCCTCTCCATGGCACTTGCTCAAGATCCCATGCCATGGCTCCCCCATCAGACTGGGAGGCGGGAAGGAGGCAATGATCTCTCCTGATCTGATCTCCCATCTCTCAAAATCATCCTGTCTCTGCTTTCCCTGTTGTAACTCACCCCATGGCCTCCATGGCCTCCACAGCCTCCTTAACCGGCCTCTTCACTCAGTAGCTGTGCCCGCTTCCATCCACCAGAGCCATCTTGCCCAGCTACTTCCTCGGGGGCCTGAGTTCCCACCGAGCTCCCTCCGGGACCCTGCACCCCAGCTGGGGCAACTGTGCAGCCCAGCGAGCCTCCCCAGCGCCCTGGCTCTCCCCACCTGCAGCTCGTTATCAGCCCAGCGCTCACCTGAGGGGTGCTCGGGGTTCCCGTCTGACATGGGGGAGCCCTCTCCTGGGTGCCGGTGGTCCAGGTGGGCACTCTTGTAGTGGGCCTGGATGGCAGCAGCGCCGCCCTGCTCGGCCTCCCCGCCGGGACACTCTGACTCCCCCTGGGCCGCCTTTCCGTTCTTCCGCCTCCGGGGTTGGTACTTGTAGTCCGGGTGGTCCTTCTTGTGCTGCATTCGGAGCCGCTCAGCCTCCTCGATGAAGGGGCGCTTGTCACTCTCGTTCAGCAGCCTGGGGCGGTACAGTTGGGGGAGACAGCCCAGTGGCCAGTGTGAGTCTCTGCCCTCAGACAAATGAGGCCTGGGGGTGGGGGGTGGGGGTGGCAAGTGCAGAGGGCGGTCGGGGTCCAGGGCAGGGGGAGTTGGGGGGGTTTGCTCTTTGAGTCACAAACTAGGAAGTGAGGCCGGAGGAGCCACAGGCTCAGAAGGCTGTGATCGTCCCTAAACTCTCAGGGGCTCCTGGCAACCCTGAGGATGGAGTTAGATGTATGGATAGAGCTTTTTTTTTTTTTTTTTTTTTAAGATTTATTCATTTATCCTAGAGGGAGAGTGAGCATGAGTATGAGCACACAAACAATGGTGGGGGGCGGGGAGGGTGAGGAAGGGGGTTTGAGGGGAATGGGGAGGGACAAGCAGATTCTGTTTGAGGTCAAGGCAGGGCTTGACCCCAGGAGCCAGGAGAAGCTCACAACCTGAGACAAAACCAACGGTCAGATGCTCAACCGACTGAACCACCCAGGTGCCCCAGGAATAGGGTTTTTGAGGGACACGGAACTTCATTTCAAGGAAAGAAGAAGCTTTTTCATCATCAGATCTGTCTGGAGGTAGAGCTGGCTGCCTTCTTAGGGGATGAGCTCCCTGGGGCTGGAGGTATGCAAAGCATAGTGGGGGGAAGAGCTCAGTCTCTGCTACTGGCTAGCTGTGGGACCACGGGCAAATTGCTCCTATGGGCTTCTTTGCCTGTCCATAGAGGAACATGCCTACTTCACTGGGTGTCAGATTGGCTGAGGTCCTGGGTGTGAAACGCTTTGCACGAGGCCTGGGGCTGGAGGGCAGGCACCTTGAGAAACAGGTGCTGTTCTCATACTGCTGGGGTGGCTGGGCCAGGAGGACCTGGGATGGGCCCTCTCAACTCTGGAATGCTCCTTTTGTGAGTCCCAGTGTGGTGTGGACAGGATGAAAGTCCCCTTTGCTATGTGGGGTCACAGCATCCCAGGGGAGATCACATCTCCTTGTCCAGGGGGTGACAGAGGGTAGAGGAAGCTAGACTTTCTTTCCAGACCCTGGGACAGAGGCAGATAGACCCTCTCCCCAGCCTGAGACCAGCCCTGAAGGCAGTGCCCGGGGCCCACTCAAGTCCAGCCTCAGGCCAGGGCTGGAGGACAGTGGAGGGGGTGATGTTTAAGGCTCGGCTGCCCCCAGGGCAAGGAGGGCAGAATAGGGTGCCTCGTGGAGTGGGCTGAGGGGAAAGAACAGACTCAGAGAGTCCTAGACATGAGGGACTCTGGGGGTGTGACTCTGCTGCCCAAAGGGCCTCTCTCCGTCCGCTGCCCTCTTCCCCCAGCCAGCAGAAGGCCTAGCCCTCCTGTCCAGGATGGGAGGGGGTGGTCATACCAGGCACCTCCTAGCCGGAGGCAGCATTCCTGTGCAGCTTAGCCTGCCCGGCCGCCCCCCCCCCCTCCCAGGCTGCCAGAACCCAGCCCTAATGTAGCTTTCTCCAAGGATCCCTCCAGCTGAGGGATGGGATGAAAACCCCAGATCAGCACCTCCTCTGGGACGAGGGACTGGGCTGCCCCCTTTCTCCCCCAGCCATGAAGGTTATCCCCCCAGCCAGGCCTCAGGGAGGCTGGGCCGCAGATGTGTGTGCGTGTGTGTGTTGAGGGCGGAGGGAGAGAGGCACTAGAGGACTCAGCCACTTCCAAGGGCCCCAGCTCAGAGGCTCTGGAATGGCTGGGGACACTGAGCTTCCTCTCCTACCCAGAACTTTGCTTGTGCCCTCTGTCCAGCTGGCAACTGGGTGTGAATCAGCAAGAACACAGTAGGGGCCATGGAGTGGGGGCAGAGGCCACAAGACAGGGAAGAATCCAACACGACACACTGTCGCCTCCCTGCTAGTTCCCAGCAGTACCCTAACCTTGACAGGATCCTGACCTCTGGTCCCCCCATCCCCAGCCCCCACCCCAGCCCAGCTGGCTAACGAGCCTCCAAGCCCCGACCCCAGCCTTACTCCAACCTCAGCTCTGTTCATCTTGACCCCTGCACCAGCCTTGCTCAGCATTGTCCCCCAGACCCCCCCACGTACCCACAGCTCTAACTGCAAACCCGATCCTCATTTGCACTCCACTTGGCCTCTGTCCTCTAGATCTCCAAGGTCTGGAATAGGGGCCAGGAGAGGGTAGGCTGCTTCCCCCTGCAAACTGGAAATCCCAACTTGGTGGGGGGAGCTCCTAAGGTGGGGCACGGGCTGCTGCTCCGTCTGCTCTTTCTGTCAGGGAAGGGGCCTGTGGACTTGGGGGTCAAGAGAGGCTCCAGCCTGTGACCCCCTTTCCAGTTTCTGGGGTCTAATTACTCTTTCCAGCAAGTCAACCAATGTACAACGATCAGCATGTGACTGTCAGAGCTCACACAGCCACTTAGGAGCCAGGACCTGGACACTGGGTGTCCGACCCCAACCTACTTCCAGCACCCTAAGCAGTCTGTCCTCATGTCTTCCTCTTTTTGGGTTTAGGGCCCTGTTTTCTAGTTCTACCTGTTTAGCCCATCCCCCTCCCTGGTGGCCTGGGAATTATGAACCGGGGAGGGATTTCAGTAGGGGCCCCCACCCAGGATCCAAGGTAGCTTGCCCACCTGTGGGGATAGCCTTTGATCCTTGTCCTTGTCCTGCCACCCTCCTACCCTGGGCTTGGGTCCTGAGCAAGCAGTGCCCGCTTTCCTGATGGTCCTATGCTAGATTGGCCTTTGGGGCCAATCATGGATGGCCAGGAACTAGTCCTCTGGAGGGAGCCCAAGCCCAGGGTTCTGGGCTGGAGGAACAAGAACAGGGACAATGGAGGGTCTGGTCTTAAATCCCTTGCAGTGGGTTGAGGGACAAGTGGGGGTCCATCCTTGTGTTGATGCTGTCATTGAGCTGGTGCCGTGGTCTGTTCCTGATCCCCAGGACCTGCTCCTTCTGCCTGTCTCCCTCCTCGTTGTCTGTCTCTCATTTGCTCTTCTCTGTCCCACGACACCAAGGGTACTGGCCTGGGCTGCGCCCTACCCAGTGCAGATGGACCTTGGGCGGACGAGCTAGTTTTGACCCTGCTCTTGGGCAGAGCTGGAGCCTCTGAGTCGACCCAGCAGGCTGGTCACTAAGCCCAAGGCCTGCCTGCCCAGGATGAGCAGAGCGCTGCGGGCCGAGACGGGGATGTGAAGGGGCACCAGGCCATCAGCAACACGTGGGGCCGTGGGGCTGGATGGGAATCCCTCTTGGTCTCTTGGGGGGGCCTTCTAGCTTCTTGTACCACCCTAAACCTTTGGCCTTCTAGGCCCCATCTCCATTACGCTGGGGCCCACCAGGGGAGGGCAGCAGCAGGAGGGAAGCCGGCTCCTCTGAGAGGTGCCGACTTTCTGGAACTCAGGTGTGCTGTACTTCCGCTCTCTCCTTCTCTGTCCCCCCACCTCCTGACCACGCTTTAGAGCCAAAGGGTGACCTGCCACTGTCACCAAGGACAGTGTGGAGGACGACCAGTAGACCTGGATTTGATCCTGCTCTGCCACCAGCTGGGACGTGGCCTTTGAGGTCCCTTTTCCTTTCTGGGCCTGTCTCTTGGGCAGTCTTGTGGGGGGATCAGGGGGCCTCTGCAGGCTTGCATCTCCTGGATCGCCTGTTCTTTTTCTGAGCTGCCCAGGACGCCTGAGGTGGGAGGTGGTTACCCTGCTCAACATATCCCAAGGGGCCAGGCCGAGCCCCAGACCTGAGGGGAGGGGTGGCTGGCTTCCTCGTTGGGGGGCATGTTTTCCCCCAGAGGTTTGAGCTGGCCCCAGGGAACCAAGGACTCTGAAGCACCCTGGGTAGGAAGAGGGGCCAAGGTTTCCTCCTGGCCAGGGCTCTCGGCTCCAGCTCTGGGGCTGGAGGGGTAGGAGGTTACTCAACGCTGGGTGGGGCCCTGGAAAAGAAGATGGCGCCGGACCGCGGGAGGGAGGGAGAGAGGGGCAGGCCTGGCAGCTCTGGCACAGGGTGGGAGAGGATACTTCTTTCTGTGCGTCCCTTACCCTAGAGGATAAAGACAAGACCCCCCCCCCCCAACCCGGAAGGAGGGGAGGATAAGGAGGGCACGATGAAGGTAGTTGGGACAAGACAGGATCCTGCAGTGACAGATTTGCCCTTGGCGGTTCTCCATCCCGCACGCTTTCAAAGGCTCCTAAGTTCCTTATTTTCCTTGAACTGCCCCCCAGTTCTCCATCTGGCTGCCTTAGTTTCCCTGCCTCGCCAGCCAGGCCTTCAGTTCTGTCCCAAGCGTTTCTCGGGCATGCCCCTGACTAGTGGGGCCGGTGGCAGTGGCACCCTCGAGTGCGCAGGGCCGGTGGAATACGTTAGCGAAGGTCTTTGGTGTGGGCCCCTTGGGATCCTACCCCCTCCCTCTCCTTTACCCCCGCCAGGAAGAAGCTCAGACCCTTCGCCTGCCACCGACGGAATTCCAACCACGAGGGGGCGCCCTCCTGCCCGCTGCCCCGGGTGGGGAGCCTTGCCTAGGCCACTGGAGTTCTAAGGCGGCGCAACCTCAAGGGGGTACTTGTGGGGGAAGGGCGGGCCCGAGCCCCACACCTGGTCTTCCAGTCCCATCAGAGCGTGGCTGCCTCCGCGAGAAGGGCCCGGGCAGCGCGCGTCTGGCCTAAATCCACCCGCAGCTAGGGGGGCCCGCGGGAGCTCCCCGGAGGCGAGTCGGGGGCGCTCACCTCCAGAGCTTGCCCAGCGTCTTGCTGAGCTCGGCGTTGTGCAGGTGCGGGTACTGGTCGGCCAGCTTCCTGCGCGCCGCCTGCGCCCACACCATGAAGGCGTTCATGGGCCGCTTGACGTGCGGCTTGCTCTTGCTGGCGCCGTTGACGCGCACGGGCATGGGCACCAGCGTCCAGTCGTAGCCGCTCAGCACCTGGCTGACCGCCTCGCGGATGCACACGGGGAACTTGTCATCGTCCGCCTCGCCGTCCTGCTGCTCCTTCTTGACCTTGCCCAGCTCGCCGGGCCCAGGGCTGGCTCGCAGGCCCGATCCGCCGCCGCCGCCGCCACCGCCGTCGGGCCCCAGCGAGGGCGCGCTCCCCGGGGACAGGCAGCGGGGCTCCTCGGAGCCCACGGGGCTCAGCTCCACCTCGGATAGGTCCTGCTCCTCCGCCATGTCGCCCCCGGCCGCCGCCGCCTCGGCCGCCTCCCCGGGGCCCGCCGCCGGGGTCCTCGCGAAGAGTCCAACGCCCACCTGGACGGGAAGAAGGGCGCGACGGAGCGGCGGTGAGCGCAGCCCCGACGGCAGCCCGAGCCGCGACGCGGGCGCAGCCCCGAGGTGGGGCCCGCGCACATGCCAGACCCGGGCTCGGCCTCCGAGCGCCCGCCTCCGCGTCTTCCCACCACCTGGTCCCAACCGTCTCTTGGTGTGGGTGGGTTTGGGCTTTTTTAAACCTCTTTTTGGGTGGAGGTTTGTTGATGGAAAGGAAGAAAAACGGGCTCTTTATTCTACTCTAATCCTGGCTCCTGGAATTTCCCACCTTTTCTCTCACCTTTCCGTCTTCCCTTCTGCTTGCCCCCCATGGAGTCTAGAGGAGCTGGCGGGGGCGGGGGACAGATGCTGGTGTCATTCTCTCTCCACCCACGCCCCACCACGGGGTCCCAGGCCCGGGCTCAGGAAGGCAGGAGCGGAGGAGCGGACTGCGCACTCACTCACCTCCTCGGACCTCTCCTCCAGTCTGGGGCTCGTCCTTAGGAAGTGGAAAACCGTGTCCCAAGGTGTGCGGTCCAGTTCGGGGCTGGGGGGTGACGCTGGTGGGCTGGGAGGGAGGGGCTGGGGGGCCCTGAGCCTCAGGCCACGGCCTCGTCCCGACGGAGCCTGAAACCTCACCACCAACCACGCCGGCCGGACAGCCTGAGACTGACTGAGCGCTGAGCTGCTGCGGAGGGCTGGGAAGGAAGGAGGGGGAGAGGGGAAGGGGGAGGGGAGGGAGGGAAGGGCAGAAGGTGGAGCCTCCAGCGCTGTCCTTCATCCCCAACACTCAGGGCTCCTCCGCCAGGCCCCCCCACCCCAGCTCCAGGCGCGGCTGTCCCAGGCCCGTCTTGGGGCCTGGGCTTAGTCAGGGAGGTGTAGGAGTGGGCGTGGTTAGGCCGGGAAAGCCAAAGGATGCAGGTGGGCAGGTTCGGAACCTGTCGCCTGCAGGAAAATTGGGCCCAACTGGGACCCCCAGCCTCTGCCTCAGGTGGCGGGATGGGCAGGTGGCAAAGGATTGGGGCTGGATGAAGAGAACACAGGGGAAGGTTCTGTGGACATCTGAGGGCGCCCGGCCTGCGCTGCTGGTTTAAGACGCTTAGGGAGGGCCTACTGTGATCCGAGGGACCCTGCTTCTCAGCCTGCCTCACCTGCCTCCCATCCTGACCCAGGCTACCCTCTGCCTCAGCTCATATGGGAGAGAAAGCACATGCGGGTCCGTACCTGGAGAGGCAGGGGTGGCTGGATACCCCCTGCCCAGGCCAGAGGCCCTAGCTCCAACCCTGGGCCCTTTTCACCAGACACGCAGCGCTTGGAAGGGCTGGCCTGGCTCAAGGTAGAGGGAGGTAGGACTGAAGTTCCTAGGGGGCTGGCCGTGGGGCTGGGCTGGGGGGTCCTCTTCAGCTAGGTCTGAAAGGCTTCTGGGACCCCAACTCCCTCCACACTGAGTTCATGCTCTCTTGGTCTGTGGGGGGAGATTTGCATTCAGGGTTGTTGTGAAGTCCTGCACTCCCCCACCCTTTCAGGGTGTCTCCCTGCCTGCCTGCCTCCCTCTCCCACCTCTCTGCCCACTTCTGTCCTCGGCCACCTCCCCAGTGGGGTGACCTGTCTCCTTTTTCTTTCCCGCCCATCACCCAAGGCTCCTTTTCCTCTCCCCTTTCCTAGGTCTCTCCCCCAGAGGTCACAGCCCCTCTCTCTTCCCAGGGGGCGGGTGTCGAGGCAGAGGTGCGGGTGGGTGTGGAGGGGCACGTGGAGCCTGGGCCCGCGCTGGCGACCACGTACACTCCTGAGCTCAGCGGCTGGGCAAGGCCTTAGGCCCAGCCCAAGGGAGTCTTGTCTGGAGTGGGGCTGCTAAGGGGGTCTAGGCAAGGCCTCATGCTTGGGAAAGGCCAAGGGGGTGGAGGGGGGTGGGTAATGGGACACAATGAGGTAGTCACACGAGGCAAAGGCATGTTGGGGGTGGGGGGAGCGGACATTGGAACACACACACACACACATGCTCGCACACACAACCAGTCAGACAATCGGGCCAGTGTGTCTGGGGCCTCGGAGCCCAGTGAATTAGGAGTTTGATAAGGGTTTTCTCTTTCTCTCGCTTGCCGGCCTTGGACAATCTCCCCCCAGTTTTCCTCGACGCCACCCCCGGCGCTGCCAACCCTCCTCCCCCCGCCTCCCTTCTCTTCCCTGTGCCCAGACTCTTGTTCGGGGCCTTGAAACAGTGAGCTGTCTTTGTTCGAAATACAGGTGAACGGCAATCATGTGATTAACACACACACACATAAAAAGCTTTTTAACAGCGCCCGCCCGGCCTCAGAACCGCCCAGAGAGGAGCCGCCCTGGATGGACAGAGGGACGGAGGGACGCGCATCCAGCCGGTTGTGTCCAGCTGCCCGCAGCAGTCTCCGACACCCGCTGCTGTCCGCCCGCTGCCCGCCTGCCCGGCATCTCTCGATCCTGGTGGGTCCCCACTCGTCCTCCCATCCCTTGGTTCCTCCTCTTGGACAGAAGGACTTCCCTGCTCCCTGTGGTGTCTGAGACCCCGCTGGGGTGGGAGGGGTGGCCCTAGAGGGAGAGGGCCCAGGGTAAGAAGCCTGGGCATGGGGTCCCACAGCGCCCCTCTCCGGCTCCCTTCCTTCTCCCTCACCCTCCTGGGCCCAGCTGTGCCAGGGTGGGGTGGGTGTGGCGGTGGGCGCTCTGGGTCCACAGAGAAGCCATGCTGGACAGAGGGGACTTCTCTCTTCCCCTCCCTCTGTCTGTCTCTCTGTCTCCCCCTCTCTCCTGTTTCCTCATTGCCGTGCTTGGGCTTTCTGCTGAGAGGTTGCTGAATGTGACAGGTGGGCCTTCAGGGGTGTGGGGAGGGGCTGCCTGATGCCCTGAGGTGTGGGCACAGGGGCGGGGGCAGAGGGGATCCCTGCTGTAACACCCCACCCCCCACTGTAATCCCCTCCATCCCATCCCAGGCCCTGGGGGCCCCAGCTTCCTCCAGCAGAGAGGGCAAAGGCCCCAGGCATCCCTGGAGTGCAGTGAGTTGGGAGGGGGGGCAGGGGTGCCGGAGGAAGGTACCCTGGGCTCTACCCTTAGCAGAACAGCCACACCCCCTCCTCACTGAGATGTGGCGTTCATGGACCCCATGGCCTGCCCTCTCTCCCCAGCAGAGAGGGGCCCGCCTTGTGAGCGTGAGCGTAATGGTGGAGAGTCAGGCTTCCCTCCCCGGGTGGAGAGGCCTTTCAGGAGCTTCAGACTTTTCCTGGGACCTCCCCCACCCCACCTGGGTTCTGTTGCTGCCAGTTCCAGCCTTACTGCTCAGATGGCCCTGACAGTGAATGATGGCTCCTGGCAGTCAGAAGGTAAAGTCCACTGAGGACCCCGCCTGGCAGAACTGCTTCCGTCAGCAGTGACCCTTAACCCCTTAGCTCCCTGAGTCCTCTTCCTAGGGCACTGGGCCCATTCTGTGGAAGGCTCCGCCCTTGGTTCCCTGCCCTGGGTCTCAGTCCCTTATCTGTCACCCAGGCAGGGACCCCCAGCGCCTCCCTGCCTGCCTCCTAGGACGCACTGAGCTAAGATGGGGGGGATCTGCTTTTCAGTGGAGCAGGGTCTGTGCCAGGGCAAGGGGTGGTGATGGTCAAGTTGGGCCTCTGCTCCAGCCTCAGTTTCCCCAGCTGGGCATGAGACTGTCTTCCTGACTGAGGACCAGATGAGGGGACACTGGGAAAGCACTTTAGCACCTCGAGGCACCTGTCTGGTCTAGGCTGTCACTCCCTCATTCCCTGGGGCCTGTGGCCCCTCTCAGTGCTTCAGACACTCACCTGTCCACCTCCAGCGTCCCAGGGGCCAGGGGGAGGGGATTGGCTTTCCTCCCTACCTGCTGGTTTGTGCAGAAGGGGGGCTTGGCTGAGGGCAGTACTTTTCAGCATAAAGGTGTGCAGAACACTGGCTCGCATTCTTCGGGTCTGGGATGAGACCTGTGGTTCTGCATTTCTCACCAGCTCCTAGGCAGGTGTCTGGAGGATTGGTTCTAATTCTTGCTGAACTTCAGAATCACGTGTGAAGTTTTTAAAAAAATACCAAAGCCTGGATCCCACCACAGACTGGCTGATTCTGCATCAGGGGTGGGGGTCCAGATGTGTTTACTTTTTGAGCTCTCTGGGCCCTGCTTTCCATCACTGGGGGCCTGGAGCCCACAGGCTGTGATGAGCCCCCGCAGACCCCCCATCTCTGGGGAGAGGGCAGGGGGCCAGGGCTCTGGAGCTCAGAGCTGGAGGTCAGAATTGCAGTCACACTGGGGTGTCTGGGGAGTGGGGGCATGTGGCAGGGGAGCGGCTGCACGCTGGAGTGAGGGAGGGCTCAGGGGCACAGGTCAGGGGTCAAGGGTAGGGTAGTGACCGCTGCAGAAGCTTAGTCTGGGTGAGTGTATGGGGAGTGTGAGCACTCCCTCGAACATTTCCTAGGCCCCCGCTGCCTCTGGACAGGCTGTGTTGTTCGTCGTTTGGAGGTCAGTAGAAGGAGCACTGGACTTGGAGTCAGAAAGTCCTGCCATTAGCATCCACGTGGCCTTGGGCAGTTTGCACTCTTAGCTTCTTAGGACTTGGGTTTTTGCATGTGTAAAATGCTGATAATATACATCACTGCACGTGGGAGTGGATGGGAGAATTAAATCAGAAACCGCACGCACTCACACGCACACACAAGCGCCTAGCTCAGCGTTTGGTTCCTAGTAGTAATTTACGTGCTGGGAGGTGGAAATGCTCACAACAGTTCAAGTGCACAAGTGTTTACTGAGTAGCCAGTGTGGACCCGCCTTTAGGAGTTTTACGTCTGCTCGCCGAATTCCAGCATCGGACCGGGCTGGTGCGTGATAAGCCCCTCGGCGCTGGGCCTCCCCTCCCCGGGCCCCCTCAGTAGCAGAGGCCCACACTGCCAGAGCCTCCAGTGGGCTCTGAGTGCTTCTGTCCTCTCGGCAACCCAGCGAGTGGGTGCTGTTGTTATTCTCCTTCTTGGGAGGAAACCGAGGCAAAAGAGGTTCAGCGACAGGCCCGAGCTCAGTGATAGGTGGGAATGTATCTGCGCCTGCAGTTTACCTCCAGAGCTGGACCTCTGACCACTCTGCCCCCTGCCACTAGACCCCAGGGGCTGCCACGGGCCAGTCCCCTCCTCCACCCACCCCATGGGCCTTTGCACTTTCCTCGTGCTCCCCATCACTGCTCAGCTCTGAGGCCCTCTCTTCAGGGATGCACTCCCGGACATGAACTCCACTGGAATTCTCTCCCTGTATTACTTTCTCATGGAGTTGGAGATGGCCTTGTACCTCTCTTCCTCACACAGCGCGGTGTCTGGGCCAGTCTCTACCTCCTACTTGGAGCCCCCTGAGGGTAGGGCCATGCCTTCCTTCTTGGTGTTGGCCCTCCCCAGGGCCCAGCATGACCTCAGGGAGTCTTTCCTGAGTTGAGCTGCTGTCAGGGTTCCAGAGCGGAAAAGACTGGCGAGGCTGGAGCAGGCAGGACTGGCTTCCTGGAGGTGGAGGGCCTGAGCGCTTGTGGAGGATGGAGGACCGCTGCGTTCCAGGGCTTGTCCCAACAAGGGCTCTCACCTGCCCTTGTTTCTGGTCCAAGCCGAGGGTCCCACCCCAAGCCAGGAAGACAGCTCCGGGGGCTAGAGTCTTCCTTCCCTGGCCCGCCCCACCCTCTCTGACCCCAAGGAGGCTGGGCCAGTGCCTAGGGCAGCCTCGGGGCAGCTGGCCTCTGCCCTCTTCTCAGAAGCCCTCCCAGGAGGGGACTGCTTGTT